GGAGAGGGAAGGAAAAGGAAGGAAAGGGAAGGAGGGAAGGAAAGGGAAGGAGGGAAGGAGGGAAGGAGAAGGAAGGAAGGAGAAGGAAGGAAGGAAGGAGAAGGAAGGAAGGAGGGAAGGAAGGAGGGAGGGAAGGAGCAAACATTATCATTCCAACCCAGCATTTGAAGTCGAAATGAACTTAATACACTCCACGTGCCTGAAAGAATTATAAAAGAAAGATCTGCAAGCAGCGTTTCCCTACACTTCGGACTGATCTCTCCTCCCCCACCGGGACGATTCCCAATCCCACCGCACAGAGATGCGATGACCCAACAATCCCTGTTCAACGCTGTTCCAACGCTCAGGCACAGCCCGGGGCCGCACCGCCCCTTACACCCCGCACCGCCCCTACAGCCCGCACCGCCCCTACAGCCCGCACCGCCCCCCGCCCGGCCCCGCAACCCGGGGAGGCTCCGCCCGCACCGCCGCCTGCGCCTGCGCCGGGTCCGGACGGTGTGTTGGGCCCGGTAGGATGGAACGGTTCGGTGGTTCTGGGTACGAAGTGGCGACGGCGGAGCTGTCCCGGCAGCAGGAGCGGCACTACCGGCTGCTGTCAGAGCTGCAGGAGCTGGTGAAAGCGCTGCCCAGGTGCGAGGGGTGGAGGGGAGCGGGGTGGTGTCTGTCGGCTCTGAATCCGAACTGCGACTCAAAGCCTGGGCCCCAACCCTGAACCTGGCTTTGAAACCGGTTCCGTTTCTGAGCCCTGACTCCAAACCCTGGCCCCAACCTCAAATGCTAACCTTGACTCCAGCTCTGAAGTCCAATCCCAACTCTGAACCCCGATTCTGAACCTTGACCTCGGTTTCAAACCCCAACTCCAAACCCTGACCCAAACCCCAGTTCTGTACTCCAACCCAAATTCCATACCCTGGCCCTATGCTCCAGTTCCTGACCTTGGTTTCAAACCCCAAATCTGAGCCCCAATCCTAATCCCAGCCCCCGACTCCAAACCTTGACCCAAACCCCAATTCTGAGCTCCAGCCCTAACTCCATACCCTGCCCCTGAACCTCAATCCTGACCTCAGTTCCAAACCCCAACTCTGAACCCCAATTCCCAATCCTAATCCCAGCCCCAACTCTAAATCCCAACTCCAGACTTTGACCCTAACTCCAAACCCTGACCCTGTAGCCCAGTTCCTGACCTCAGTTCCAAACCCCAACTCTGAACTCAAATCTTAATCCCAACCACAACTCTGAACCCCAATTCCAAACCTTGATCCAAACTCCAATTCTGAACTCCAATCCCAACTCTGAATCCCAATCTTAATCTCAGCCCCAACTCTGGACACTGAACCAGTTCCAAACCTTCATCCAAACCCCAATTCTGAACCCCAACCCTAACTCTAAATCCTGACCTTGAACCCCAGTTCCTGACCTCAGTTCCAAACCCCGATTCTGAACACCAACCCCAACTCTGAACCCCAATTCCCAATCCTAATCCCAACCCTGACTCTGTACGTTGGCCCAAACCCCAATTCTGATCTCCAACCCTAACTCCAAACCCTGACCCCAACTCTGAACCCCAACTCCAAGAATGCTGACCCCAATTCCAAACTCCACTCCTAATCCAACCCCAACTCCAAACACTGAGCCCAATTCCAAGCCCCAGCACGAATCCAATCCCAACTCTGAACGCCAGCTCCAACTTAAACTCTTGACTTCAATTCTGAACCCCAATTCCAAACCCCAACCCTAACCTCAACTCCAACCCCTAATTCCAAGCTGTAGCTCTGAACCCAACCCTAACCCCGACCCCGCTGTGTCCCTGCAGCTCCTGCCAGCAGCGCTTGTCCTACACGACGCTGAGCGACCTGGCGCTGGCGCTGCTGGATGGGACGGTGTTTGAGATCGTGCAGGGGCTGCTGGAGATCCAGCACCTCACTGAGAAGAACCTCTACAGCCAGCGCCTCAAGCTGCATAGCGAACACCGCGGTCAGCAGGGAAAGGGATTTGGGGTGGGGGGAACCTGGGGGGGCATTGGGGTGAGGTGGTGGTGGGTTGCAGGTGGGGGAGGTGCAGTGGGAGTCACTGCAAGGAGGCAATGGGGAGGTGTGGGGGCAGGGATGGGAGGAGGTGGTGGTGTTGTCCTGATGCCGTCCCCATCCTTGGGCACAGGGCTGAAGCAGGAGCTCTTCCACCGGCACAAGGAGGCCCAGCAGTGCTGCAGGCCGCACAACCTGCCGCTGCTCCGCGCCGCCCAGCAGCGGGAGATGGAGGTAAGATGGAGCAGGAGAGCACAGCCACCCTCACTGCCCTTCACACGAGCACAGGAATTTGCAGCCATTTTGCTATAAGGAAATGCTGGTTATCCCAGCACTGGAGCTGGTGCGGTTTGAGGGATGTCACAACCCCTGTGAACTCCAAAGGGTGAAAGCCAAAGTCGTGATGTACTCAGTTACGCTGATAAGGAAGAAATAACCTAAAGTATCTAAAAGCACAGATTGATTCTTAGTGTTTCCCAAAGCATTTCTGGGAAAGAGCTTCAGCGTGAGTGGGACATTGAGTCCCAAAGGTCTGAACATCCTCTTATCTACATCTTAGTGATAAGATAAAGACAGTTTTTAAACCAAGGGAAATTACAAGTAGCTGGTTATCTTAATCCATGTAATTTAAATGTATGTGTGAAACTACTTTACTCCACATCAGGCAAACCTGTAACTGTTTAAATGTTGGCTTTCTCCTGACCTTTACCCATAATAACCACCCTGTGAGAGCCCTTTTGTTTCCACTTCCCTCATTTTCTATTGAGGTGGCTGAAGTCAGGCCGGGCCTGCATCCCTCTCTGTGTCATGTGTAAATACATCATAACAGTAAGTAATAATCCGTGCTGTGTTACAAAGCATTTCCAATATTGCATTCATCCAGCAGACTTTATTCACACTAGATGACAAACGTACCCACACGTGTGGTTTTTCTCTCTGTGTTGTATCCTGTACGACTTCTCCCCGCTTCCTTTTACCTTCCCAATTCCTTCCTGTGTTCTTTATTCCTCTGTCAGGAGGAAGTTACTGAAGTTACTTCTTCCCTTTTCTATGTTCTGGTATTTCTGTTGTTTCATTTCGCTTTGGGAAGAGATCCATCATCTTAGTGATGGGATGTGTCTAATCAGAGCTGCTCTGTGGTTCAAGGACCAGCTCCTTTGGGTTCCTATGGGATCAGTCTCACAGGAGGGATAATACAAGATATGCTTTGGGGATGTCCAGCTTCCTAATGGTATCTATAACCTTAAAAATAAAAAAAAAACAATTGGCCTAGCATAGCAACTCACCAACCACCTGAGCTGAAGCAAGGCTTGTGTTTAAGCCTTAGTTTTCTCAGAGTCTTTGGTGCCTTTCTGTGTCTCAGAATTGGGTGCCTGGCTCTAAATGGCACACAGATAACTAAACCCGAGGATGGGAAAGTCACTCCTTCAGCACAGTGTCTGCAGTATATCCAAAAATGGTTACATGAGGCAGCTCCTTCTCCTTGGAAGTAAGAATTGCTCATTTAGGTCAGGCCTTTTGCAGACAGTTGCTGATGCATTCACTCTGTAGACAAAGCTCAGTTTTTGTGCAGGCTGCTCAGGCCCAAATCCTCCATCTTTCACTTTCTGGCTTTTCCACAGAGCTTCCAGCTGAGCACAAGCTTTCAGTTTCCTTTTCACATGGATTTGTCCAGTTCTTTTAAACCACAGCCATCAATTTAAGAAGTCCAGTGACTCCTCTCTTTCTGTGCAGTAAGGATTATTATTACTTTGAATATTTCCAGCTGAATGCTTGCCTTGGTTTATAACGTTACAGAGAGGCAGCATGGCGTGGGTAAAGTGTTTAAACTTGTGTCAGTTAGCTGTTAGCAGAGAAGGAGCTTTGTATTTAGGTCAGATTTGGTGTCTCCTGATTTTCCCTGTGGCTTGAGAAGGACGACTGTTGTTCACTATCACCCAGCAAGATCCTGCTGCCTACCCATGCCCCTTCCTGCAGCTAGCAGAACGTGGTAGTGTTCTTAGAGCTGCCCACAGCACTTGATTTCTTGTGTGCCTTTGAATTAGCAACTGATCTCCATGTTCCAGGTGGAGAGGGTGATTTACACACCACTGTGTCTGTGGCAAAGTGAGTTCCAGCTCTGCCTTCCTGCGCTTAGGCATTGAGTCCTTGCTTCTGTTGTTCCATTTGTTCTGTTGAAGTGATGTGGTTTTCTGCTAAGGCAGAGCAGGAGGGCCTGTGTGCTTCTGATAGGGCTGTTTTGGCAGGTCCTCACTTGATAACATTCTCAGTTTGGCAGAAGCAGAGCCCCAGCAGGCTGTAGTTCCAAGCAACGCTTCTGCTTGCCGTTGTCAACAACAAAAAAAAACTAAGCTGTGCTTCCTGTTGCAAAGTTGGGAGCGGAGGAGTTTGGCTCCTCATGAATCAATAGGAGCTGGGTCTGATGTACTGCTGCAGTGCTGTGCTCAGACAACATGCAAGCATCTGAGCTGGCTTTGGTGCCTTTTACTGATCTGTATCACTCCTCCAAGTCTTCCTACAGTTTCAGCAGTGCTGTGAGGGATGTGTGACTTTTGGGCTACTGACTTCTTAGTGCATGTACTGCTGAAGTACTTGGCTACAGCCTGCTGCTGCTGCTCAGGAAAAGTCATTCAGATTGCAGTCTGCTGCTCATGGTCTCTTTCCTGGCTTCAAAATGCACTTCAGCAGGCTAGTCCCAGCTGTTTCCCTGTGCTTTGTAGTGAGAGGTAGCTCACTGTAAGGCATGGCAAGCACCCAAGGTAAGATCTGAGGCTGTGCTTGCTGCCCTCTGCTGTCCTTGGAAGAGGCAAAGTCATCAGAATTGGTGTGCTTTAAGGGTGTAGTAGTTCTTTGGTTTCAGTAAAAGATGTTGAGAGGAGAACAAAATACGGGATGAAGATAAACGTTCCACCCATCTGCTGAATATTATCTTCTCAGGCTGTGGAGCAACGAATTCGAGAGGAGCAGCGAATGATGGATGAGAAAATCGTCTTGGAACTGGACCAAAAAGTGATCGACCAGCAGAGCACCCTGGAGAAGGCTGGGGTGTCTGGCTTCTACATCACCACCAACCCCCAGGTCAGTGTGTTAGCAGTGATGGTAAGAGCTGGCAGTGCTCTTGTGCCAACAGCTTTTTTTGGTTTTAGTCTGTTCTTAATGAATTCTGAATTCTGGCTTGGAAAGAATGACTGCTCCTTTGCCCCATCAGCTGATGGGCGCTGTGCTCTCAGCAGATCAGGTTTGTAGCAGAGCAGCAGAAGTGCATCAGACAGGGCTCTTAAAGCCTGAGAGCAGCCACCGAGGCTTCCTTTCTGCTGTCCACCACAGGAATGGAAAACTGCAGCTTCCAAAATTTCCTTGTGATGCCACGGAAGCTTGCAGTGAATACAGAAACAGGTGATTTTTTTTCACTGCATTTCCAGCTGATTAAATTTAATTTTGATAAGGATGCATTAGAGAGAAAATTTGGCTTAAGCTCAGTTAAACAGCCGTTTTCTGAAACCACACAATTTCTGCTTCTGTACCTTTAAGAAAGTCCTTTTTTTTCCTGTGTTGCTATTACTCATCTGTATACTGAAATCATTTCTTTGTCCTCCCCCTCCCTTGCTCCTACCTGTTATGTTATTTCTGTAAGTAATATCTCTTAACAGGGTTCCTATTTGCTATTTCTCATTTGTTTGCCTTCATGATAGCTGGTAACCCTTGACTTCCAGTACGAGAAATCACTGCTGGTGTCTGTTGTTCTTCATGCATTTCCTGTCAGTAGATGTGTTTTCCTCAGTCTGTTATGTAAACTGTCTGTTTATGCAGTTGATATACTTTTTTTTT